TCATCCACTGTTATTGTTTTTTAAGTTCTGTAATACCTACATGTTCAATAATTGTTCATATTCCAGAAATATGGCAGATGAAGTATTGTAATCTCTGTCATGACGTAATTTCCTCTCAAAACAGAAGTTATTTTTCGACAAATTGAAACATTTTCAGTTTTCATTGGCTCGCTTTCATTATGAGGTTCAACCTATAGAACTTTAAAAAATGAAAAGGATGTCTGATGTATCATAACATTGAATCATCACTTTTCTAACAATTTCATCACAGTGAACTACCATTAGCACATTTTTGGAATGTTCGATGGTAAATTATGAAAGTGACCCGTTAGCCCACCCCCTTTCCGGTACCTTCCTCTATGAGGTTCTCATTCCGAAAGACACCCATCCATCTTACCCCTACTCCTCCTGGAGTAGTCCCTATACGTCTGCATGGATTGTCTGTCTTTGTCCATGTTTAGACAAAATTGATCTTTTGGATCAATTGGAATGCGTCACTTGCAATAAGTGTAGTCTTCGTGTTGTTTTTGTCTTCTTTGGGGCTTGTTCAGGTTGTGCCATCTTGCCTTTCTACGCCTTTATGTGTGTTTTGGTCTTTTGTGCCTTTCTCGAAATCTGGGATCGTATTCCAAGATTTCTCGTAGACCTCGGTTTGGGCGCGTCTCCAGCATTGGGAACCAATTCTCAGTTTTTTCTTTCATCTTCGTGGTCACCGGAGTGATCTTCAGGTCCCTGAAGATTGTCCTATTTGATACGTAATGAATTGCGTCGAAGGCCCACCTAAGGACTGAGTTTTCCTGCGCTTGTATCTTCTTTCTGTTCGTTTTACAGGTTTGTCCACAGGCTAGTGAGGCGTAAGTGAGTATGGGCAGGATAATTGCACGTATCAGTGACAATTTGTTCTTCAGGGACGTCTTGTTTTTTCTTCCTATAAGGGGAAATCATTCAAATTTAGATACATTAACTTAACTTACCGTTTGTGTGACGTGTTCGCTGAAGGTTAGCCTTTGGTCCCATACTACTCCTAGGTATTGTGGCTTTTCTGATCATTGTATGTTATTTCCACCTATCTCTGCATGTCCCTCTGGTCATTTGTGCATTCTTCCTCTGAACAGTACTGCTTTGCTTTTGTCCGGGTTCATGGCTATTTTCCATTTCACACACCAGTCCTCTAGTTCAGTTGCTGCATGTTGAAGGTATCATGTTACCAGTTCTGGTCTCTTTGATCTTGCTGATATTGCCGTGTCGTCTGCGTATATATAAACAGGTTTTATCTGACTTCGGGGTGTCTGATGTGTATATGGTATATAGCCTTGGACTTAACACTGTGCCTTGCGGGACTCCTGCTTCCGTTGATCTGGATGATGACTTCTCATGTCCAACTTTGACTTTAAGTTTCCTATTTCGGATGTATGAGTCAATGAGCTTCAGTATAGGTACTGGGTATCCTAAGTCCATCATTTTGGATATAAGTCCATCATGCCATACTCTGTCGAAAGCTTTAGGAGCATCTAGGAAAACCGACCCTGTGACTTGTTTCCTATTCAACCCTTAAGCTGCATATTCGACAAGTCTGAGGACTTAGTTAACGCCATTACTGATGTCGAAGCAGTACTTCCATTTATTGCTTATTTATTGTTAGCCCAATAATTACTGACTGATGTTTTTTCAGTAAATCCTTTATGTTTTTCCTCGCACAGAGAATAATAATAATAACTACAATCAAAACAGAGCTGAACTTCTCGTATTCAGATTCAGATTTGGTCTACTATACTATCTACTTAATTTTTCATATTGGATTCATGAGAATAAATCGGAATAAATAGTATACTGATAAAATCTTTATATCCATATATAGGTCAATGGTCTATTTTGACCAACGGCCGAATATTAATTATATTCAAGGGCTATTGAATTTTCAACAAATCAATATGATTTCGGATGAAATCCTTTTGATTTCAAACCAATTCTCGATAAATTCAAACTCTTCTGACATACTTATTGCAAATCCCCACCGGCATTTATTATCGAATATCTGGTAACGTCAAAGTGCCAAATGATTAAAAACAATCATAAAAAACGACCCAAGCTAGGGCTTTGCCGCCGATGACTTATGAAAAAACTCGCCTTCGACTCACCCCCACTCCTAGCCGACCAACCGAATAATCATCGCCCATCACAGATCGCAACCGCAAAACTCACACGGTCCATTGGAAATACGCGATTTTTTCGTTTTGAACGCCAATAAATTCCCTTTGTTATCGCCGGCTTCTTCCGGCCTGATATTCGACCTACGTCGCGAGTTGAACGCTTCCAACGGCGCTATTGAACCGATGGTGGCAGGTCTGGGATTAGTGACGCCGGAGCGGAGATATGCAAAAACTCTACCCTTGCAAGGTATCGGTTTGAGTTATTGTTTTGAATATATCACCGCCGAAATTCCCTTCTGTTCGATTTTATTTTTTACTTTTAATGGCGCAGATCCTAAAACTAAGGGGTTCGGACCAAAAAACCGAATGAAATATATGTCTTGGAACGAGAGAGATGGCATTTTTAACGGTCCCTAATTATTGTATATCTCAATCCCGGAATAAAGCAAAAAAGGCAGTTAAACATGCCGGAATGAGGTATTATTCAGTTTGAAATGATACGGGTTTCGTGGATGTGACATAAACTTTTGATTTTTATGTGGAACACCTTGTATGGAAGCTACTTCATGCAGCTTCGCAGATGATACTCCATACCGCCTTCTCTTCCAGGGAGATACCAGCCAGGCAAATCAGAAACGAACGAAGGAGAAATGTTGATAACATAAATATGAACTTGACAACAATTCCCGAATGGGGATCCAATAAAAGCCGATCTCACTGTGCCCAACATAAGCTTGTCAGGAGTAACCATACCTTTGAAGACATCCATTTCGATGTTTGGTATTACTATCAGCAATAACCTTTCTTTGGAAAATCACGTGGGATCAATTGCTGAAAGTGCTTCCCAAAAACTTGGTGTTCTGTTTCGGGCCAGGAGCTATTTCACTTCCAGTCAGCTGCTTATGATCTATAAGACACAGATCCGACCTGTCCTGGAATAGTGTTCCCATATTTGGAGTGCAGCACCCAAACATACCCTGAAACTTTTGGATTCTGTCCAAAAAAGGGCAACTCGTCTCGTTGGTGTTGCATCGCTCACAAACTCACTCACTTCTCTGGAACACCGTAGAAAAGTCGATCTGGCTCTATTTTATAGATATTTTCATGGACGATGCTCTTCTGAAATATCAACAATTGTTCCTCTCTTGGCAGTCCCCGCAATATTAACCCGTCGAGTTGAGGCTTCGCACCCCTTCGTGGTCACTTGGGAGATCTGCAGAACATCTCTTTTCAAAAACTCGTTCATCCAACGAACAGCGATGCTCTGGAACACATTGGCAAAAGAGGTGTTCCCCGGGCATAAAACCTCAAGAAATATAAGAAGAACACCAATTCCTACCTCATTTCTTTTGGTTCTCACGATGTTCTCTGAACATTACAGGATATTCCTTTTCGTGAGAACCAGAACATGGAAAAACGTACATATTTTCCTCACGAGTAAAAGGATGCACTTTAGCTCCTGGCAGACCGCTACTAGATTGTATAGGTTATTAATCTTACGACTGAAAACATTTCTCAATGGGGTTTTGACGAAACTACGATATTTTCTTAGATTAGCAATGTTGCAATATAAAACTATCTATATATATGATGTTCAAGGACTCATTTTTGAACTCACAAATTAACTATTTTAAGTATTTGAATAGTTGTAAGTGAAGAATATTATTCTACTCGCTCATAATATCTCGTACAACAGTTTTCCTATCGTAGAATAATATATTATCTACAACTATCGAGTTAAACTTCCACTGTTTACTCGATTTTCAGTAATATTGACAGTACGATTGAGGGGGGGCAGGGGGAAGAAATTTTCCCTTCTACAAAAAATAATCTTTCAATTTATCATCCTCTATCAATGACACAAAAGGAAACAGATCAGTAGGTTCAATAGGGAAGTAGATATCAGAATTTCCTCAATTGTGAAAACTGACGCCTTCGGCCATTTGAAAATATCAAGGAACGCTATTAACAGATCTTTCTATCTAGTAATAGACTGATAGTTTTTGCATGGAATGTATGATATGATAAAAATTGAAATGAATCAGAGAATATCTTATTGAGAAATGAGTAAGTATCCCTTGCTCGATAAAAATCATTGAACATTACTCAACCAATAAACATTATATACTTCAACGCATTCATATATTTCTTGATTTGTTCATATCTATTCCGCTTTCTCATCTCCTTAGATTCTTTGGGTTTTCCTTCCCTAATTTATAAAAATAAAAAAATATAGGTAAACAAAAATGTCCCTGCGTTCAAAAGATGTTATCCATTACTTTCATAAAACTGGGAGAGAAATCTGTTACTAATTATCAGTGGCACTTCATCATTATTACACATATATGGGTATTGAAATAATATTCAGATTTTCATTCAAAGAAACGTGGTGAAAAAATATCGGGGGATCAAGTTCTCGTTGGAAAACCCTGTATAGTATTTTTCCCATATATAACGTACTTTATGGCGGACACATCAAACTTTTTCTGGACTATTGAATGTATTGAATACCTTACACTCGCATCTCTACTGCTAGGCATATTTTCTTTAATTGATCGACTCCAAATCGGTTTGTTCTACCCCCTTACTTGGATCAATCAATTCAGCACTATTCTATACCTTCCGCGGGGGCGGATTAAATATAATGTCTTCATTTCTCGAAGCGATTGATTGATTTTGATGCTACGTCCTCACTAATTCCAACTCGTGAGTAAAGTTCCACCGTAAAATTATGTCGAGATTCGAAAGGGAAACCCATATCGATTGAAAGTGTAGATAAAGGGTATATAATATCCTACAGAGGGTCTGCCTATCTAAATACTTACTCATTCGATCTTTGTTCTTTTGCAGATAAATCATTTACTCGAAGAAGTTCAAAGGCTTCAAGGATGCCTAACTAAACTTCAAGAAACTTCTATGTCACAAATAAGCCGACTCGAAGACCAACTGGAACAAAAACGGCAGCACATACTGAGACTGGAAAGCAAATTGGATTTGCAAAAAGACTACGACGAGCTTAGGAGGGAAGTTAGGTAAGTATAAGAGGATTTTTTAATATAAGTTATATCATTTCTCACGGAACTTGGTTTTTTACTAGTTATTTTTATATTTGGAGATAAACAAATTGAACAAACTGTTTGATCTTCTGATGTTTGTTCATCACCTAATATAATTCACTGTCTCAGATATAAGTTTAACAATGGGGGAGACCGCTGATTTTTTTGAACGACATTATCGTGAACTCAATACTGAAAAACTACCAGTGAATTGATTTTGAATTTTTTCATTCATGCTAAGACGATGAAAAAAATAAATTAGAATATGTCCATTTCTAAACACACAATTCCTGCGCCATTTGAAGTTTTGTCAATTCATTGGTGAGACTGGTGCGACGTCTTAGTCCCAACACGCCTATTGTCCTTGAACTCACCAATCACACTGCAACACTGCAGAATGACGAGGTATCAGAGAGAGATAGCTACAGTGCGGGACTAATACGTCACAGCTCCACCATCATATTTGACTTTTCGAAATAACGAATGAAATATGCTGATTTCAAAACGATATAGATTCGATTCCCTTCAACTTCAACTCATAATATTGATTGTAGATCAAACGTAAATCATGATTCGTCGATTGAAAGAGGTTTGCACGGATTTCTTTCCTCAGTGGTCTTCCCCATTGATGGAAACAATGAAAATATGTTATATAGTTTTATCCATTATGCATGACACAGAGAAACTGGTTTTCCCTTTCCATTCATTTTTCTATATCAGATTGCGATGTTCATTTGTTTCAATATCTTTTTTTCCTCATTCCTTTTGAGAGTTTCACAATACCCATAGCGTCATCTTAACAAATAATCGTTTCATTAGGATTAAAAGTGACACTTTGTTTGACAAGCAAATTTTGCATTTGCGAGGCGGTGCGTCTAGCAGCCGAGCGAAAGCAAATTTTGCGAGTCAAACAAACTCACTTTTGATCCGAATGAAACATTCAATTTTTTTTGCAACTGAAAGAATCAACTAAAATGAATATGTGAAGTAACCATCAATGTGAGTTTCTTGATAGATTATTTACCTTTATTATAATGATATATAGGTAAGTAGATAAAAGCAAGAACTCAGACTCAGAACTTTACATCAAAATATTGGTGGACGACGAATTTACTTCGTTACAATTTGTGATGACTTGCATCATCAGATACTACAAGCATGAATTCAATACTATACCTGTAACGTGAATGCCGTGCCATATCTATGCAATGCAAAATAATCCGTGTGGTGAGAATATTCTACCTGCACTTACAGATCAGGTTTATTCAATTTTCAAGGATGTTCGATTTGTAGTTTCAATATAAATACAAACCACCAGAGTGACCCATTTGTGTATGCTATTGAATCGATAAATCGATGAATTCATTTGGACCAGGTGTCAGCTTTAATAGCAAATACCGCGCCAGTGTTAGGTATACGAAAAATAAGTGGAAAATGTTAGGTTAGTGAGCATATCAACAATCAAAATGGCGATTATTTATTCCTTTCAATACTCCACTGTGTTTGGCTCGGTAATTAAATGAAGGTGAGACAAAAGTTTATTGCTGGCCGTGATTATTCAAAAACAAGTTATCCAATCAATCAGATCTCGAGAATGAATGAAATGCAAATCAAGCAGGTATGTGAATCTTGAAGGCGTTCCTGATTGAAACAAGAATACTCAACTATAATATGGTGTATTTATATCTCCAGCATGGATATGAAATGCCAAATCTGCCGAATTCGGGAACAAATCAGGTATGCGTCCCAACCCAAATAACCAACCATAACCATGTTGTTTAATCTTGATGACCTAGTAAACCATTTTTAGTTCCTACAGGCTAAAGTTCAACTTTAGCTCCTAGGAACTGAAAGTGTTGCCTACCAGCGTACCTATGTTTGCGTCAATAGAAACGTCAATCCAAGAGCTAATTTTGGTATTAAAATGTGAAAAATATAAAACCACACCCATTATACCTTCGATGAATCCATCGATATGGTAAAATTCCTATTGCTGTTATTAACATACCTATAGTTTTATATCACCAGTTTTCATTTCGAATTTCTAATCCAAATATTCAACTGAACTTCTAGTCCCTATATAATATAGAGAACCAGTTTCTCTATGACCTAATGACAAAAAAATCCGCAAAACATTTTTCATTGTTTCTATATCGGTTGTCAAAGTTAGACCAATGGGACCTGAGAATGTCTCTTCCATTTAACTGTATTTTCCTCATTTTCTTTCAGTATACTGAGGCCTGACTTAACCAACAATCCAGATGGAAAAAGTATCGAATTACTTTTAGAACAATCAAAGACATTCAACCAAGCGAATACGGATAAATCACCATCTAGAGAAAGTGAAGGTAAACCCCATTTACTATTTTTTAGATTTTTTCTTTGAAATCCAATTGCTAATAATATAGTCGCAAGTATTCATATTTCTATAATTGAGATAACAATTTATACCATATGCTCATATGCAAACTATTTCCAAACGTAATATAACTTCTTTATTACCTACCGAACAACTATTTTAAAAGGTTTTATTACCTTCAAAAACTGATATGTTGTTACTCGACTTGTGAAATATGGTTTTATTGTTTTTATTAACAATTGTACAGTATAAATGTCGTCACCATGAGAACTATTTAATAATATTTTTTACGAAATCTGTGTACAGGTTTCTTTTCAGTGCATGATCGTTGAACGTTCGGAAGAATGGTTTCAACTCTGCTCCAGTCATTCGAATTAATTTTTTATTGCTTCCTCGTAAAATCAAAAGAATAACCTAAATTATTCGTATCTATCCGAGAATCTACTTGATTCTGATTCATTATTTCCTTTTTTACGCTCTAGAGAATATGTCTAATTAAAAGTACGGATTAATTATTATTGTTTAGTGTTCATGAATTATGTTGATTGTTTTTTTGGGAACCAAATATGTTTGGAGTTCGGTAACAGTATCGAACAATGAGATGTTATCGTTAACTTTTTTTAATCCTCCCATATAACATTTGGAATTATTGTAAAATTACAGTCATAAAAATTATCCTTGTTCACGATTTCGACACTAAGTAATAATTATTATAATTGTTCCAAACATCATGCCCATTCACTACTTGCAATGCTAATTACTTCAAGTTTTGGACCACATCGCGATGAAGTTCATTTGTTTGTCGGTAAACTCATCCATCACTGACAATTAAATTGGTTTCCAGAAGAGTTCGCACCATATTCCAAATCATAAACTATACCTACCATTTTCAATATTTTTGCATATTTTGTCTAATCTCGACGAGATATCTACTAAAACATTTCAAACAAGTTGATCAAGGCTATTCAAATTAGGTACTTCTTTCACCATCGCTCCTAGAACCTAGCATTACCAGGCGGCAGAATCCTTCCAATTCCCGAAGTCACTCGAAATCATGCACTATACGAAGCATCGCTGGCAGGATGGCACTATACAGTCTCCATATTTCCCCGTTCGTCCTCTGGCATTGTCTTTCCTTGTATACGGAAGAACTTGACCTCCCTGCCGATTGATCGACGGATGACCCGTTAGCTCCATTGGCAGAACGTTGGGCATATAACCCAGAGGTTGTGAGTTCGACTCTCACACGGAGCGATGGAGTTTTTCATTGTCACTCGAAATTGGGGCTTTATCCCTCACTTCTATGTACACTATGAAATACCCCATTTTCATCCGATCCCAAACCACCTTTCAACAACATTCACCCCCGCCCCCATCTCTCGCACCCCCATTCTAACTCTTCATCCATTTTTTTCCAGGAGTCGACCAACAACCAACGCAACCCCCCGCCACTCCCACCAACCCCCTCCCGCCTCCCTTCCACAACGTAGACGCCTTCGGCAGCCTGCTCGGCGAAGAGCTCGTCTCCACGTGGAGAAGACCCCGAATAACACCGAAATCCCCCTCCGCAGATCATCCCCCGAAGAGCTCCACCCCCCTGATCGACGAGCAGAGCGCCGCCTCCACACAGGAGCCACCCTGTCGGCAGTCCCCCATCGAGAGCCTCGTCAACGGCAGCCCCAAGAGTCCCTTGGAGGACAACAACAACCACCACGTCAGCAACAACAACATTCCTCTGAGCGCCATGTGCGCGGTCAATAGCTTTCTTAGGTCGGAGGACTCGCTGAAGAGCCCCTACAGGTTCGAGGACCACCATCGGTCGCCCTTTAAGTTCGCTGAGGAGCTGGGAATGGCGCCCGGATCCATGGTGGGGAGGCTGGGCGAGAGCCTGATACCCAAGGGGGATCCCATGGAGGCCAGGCTGCAAGAGATGCTGAGGTACAACATGGACAAGTACGCGTCGCAGAATTTAGGTGAGATTCCTCGTTCTTCGTTTTGCTTGATTATTTGGGTTTTCCTTCTCGTTTCTATAAAATCAAATATTATTTCAATATACGTGTAGGACGAATCAAATGGTTTGCCCCAAAATGTCACTGCGTTTACTAGCTATTTATATACCAAGGGAGCAATGTGAAGTTTAATGCCCGACGCCCCAGTTAACACAGATTGATCTCATCACAGATATAAGAGGGCATCACATTCATGCCACACATCACATCTGTGACTCGAATTGAGAGTCCCACTGAAATCACAATGACTGCTATTCCGGACCCTTTTGGTCATTTTATGATTCACATTATTCACATAGTACGTATTGAAGCGACTCCTCATTCAACATCAAAAGTGATTGATTCCGTTTGTTACATAAATAGTCAAGAATGTGAGGTTCCAGTGAGTCTCTTGGTTGTTAGGAAGCCTCACATATTCACCTACATTTTATGCCTCAAATCCAATGAAATGTGAAGAAAAGTGCGGATGTTTTGTAAAATAAAGAGTCCCCTGGCAATACCAATGGTGTTTTCTTGCAATTCGCATTGTAACCTAACGTGACATCAAAGGGATGTTTGTGTTTACTGGAGCGTAGCGTACGTATATTGGAAAATATGAATGTACCACCTCCTCGATAAACCTACAGACAGTTTCCTCACTCTCTTTAATTTCTTTTGATACCTCTTTGATAGATTTCTTGGGGAAGGTATGAAGGAGACGACCTAAGCTACCCGATTCGACTCCTTATAACTTCATTCTTTGGGGATTTTTAAAGACCAAAGGCTGTGCAACTCAACCAAAGTTCTTAGTCTCGTCCACTGAACCCTCTTCATTTCTATTGTGGTTGCTTAGAGAACACTATCCAGCTTTTCTTTCCATTCTGGTTCGTGCATATAGTTTGAGAATTTTGGTTTTTCCTTACCTAGACAAGGAAATCCTAGACTTGTCAACCCTTTGCATTGGCATAAAACATGGACTGCCATTTGTTCTTCTTCATCACAACTTTCAGAACTGGTGCTTCTTCTGCCTTGTCGAATACACTTGAATGCCTAATATCAAGTGACACCGATGTGGTGGCAGTGTCCCAGTGAGCTACTACTTTCCAGACAATCGGCTGTCTTCTCATGGGGAAACGATCTATTGAAGTGAATACGCCTAGAGGTCACGAGTATCTGATAGAGAGCAAAAGAAAGCAACAATGCCAAACAAATTTATTGCCACATGAGCTACACACAAGTAGGTATAATGGCAACGCCGCTTACGTCACTTTCTCTCTATTAGATACCCATGAATCTTAATGCGTATTCACTTCAATAGATGGTTTTCCTTTGAGAAGATTTCTTTTGCCAGACGTGTATATAATAAGGGTGCAAAGAACTATTTAGTTTCTTGCAAAAATCTTTCTCTTACACAAATAGGATATTTTTCAGTTGAATTTTCTTTTTTCTTCAGATACTCTGCACATCTCTAGGCGGGTGCGAGAGCTGCTATCCATCCACAATATCGGCCAAAGATTGTTCGCAAAGTACGTCTTGGGACTGTCCCAGGGCACTGTTTCGGAGCTGCTGTCGAAGCCCAAGCCTTGGGACAAGCTGACTGAGAAAGGGAGGGACAGTTATAGGAAGATGCACGCTTGGGCGTGTGACGAGAATGCTATTATGCTGTTGAAATCGTTGATACCAAAGAAAGGTGAGAACCGTTATTTATCTTCGATATGTTTGTGTTTTTTGCAAAGTTGCTTTGGTCGTTTTTCAGTGGATTATAATACACACATTTTCCAATTTCAATTCAGAAAAGTTTTTCTGTCAATAATCTGTCAAGTCAGATAATTATAAAAGTAGGAGGCAGCACACAAAAATCTCCTTGAATTCAAATGTTCAAAAGCATGTCGTTTGTAGATCCCCGATCATTAAATTAAACATTGGAATTCTTTTCATCACATGTTACATGTTTGTTTCTAAATCTTCTGTAATTATAAGTTCTTAATTTCTAAGTCGTTTGGCCACGAATTTAATCAATTTTGGTGATTATTTTTGTTTTTTCAATCATCGGAGCACTTTGAGAATGGATGGTTTTCATGACTCATGCTGTTTCAAATTGGATTGTGAGGATCATTCTTTTCCGCGAAGATTGATGTGAGGAATTATAAATTTTGGGAATACTCCAAAACTGTGCTATCTGTCGATCTGGAAATGTACAGGCTGTTCTATTTGAATCAATGACAAATTTCTGGTTCAACTGAAAATATAATCAATACCTACTCAATACAATACCTACAAATACTGAAAAGTCCTCCTACAGGAGAGCAATTCCAGGTCATCGACAAGCGAAAAAGTTCATCAACCATTCGCATAATAGAGCCAAGGAGCTACTCAGGCTCAGCAAATCAGAGCCAAAGTTTATCATATAGGCTTTCTCATATGGCACTTCCCTTTGAGGCACCACCTCAAAAAATGAGCCTAACAAAGACTGGTACACCTCAACTCTCAAGAAAATCCTAGGCTTCATTGGACGTTTAGGTTCAGAGAACTGAAATTAGATAAGGGTAATGATAAGGAGATTTCCCAGGTCTCTCAGCCAATACGACCAACTTACTATATATATACATTTACTCATATTATTGGGAATATAAGTATCTAATGTTACCTACATAATTCAAATCTAAATGGTAAAAACCGTATGCTTACAACCCTAGATAATTCTAGCAATAAAAACTACCTACCTAACTAGTGATAATTTTTTGTCAAATAAAGCAAGTCTCATGTCGTGTGTGTGAATGAGTAGAATATTTGTAGAACTTGATGAAAAGTAAATATAAAGGAATTAAAGTTGCATTAAAATTCCTGCTCATTTTATATTGACTCATTGTCTTCCAGGAAAACATTAATTAATATTTATTTGTTTCTGTATCAGCCCAAACAATGATATCACTCTGGAAGCCATGAGACGAATTGAATTGCAATGATCGGAATACCTACCATTTCGAAACAACCAAAAATTTTGCAATAAACATGAACTATAAATATTATATATAGTGGTTATATTGTTATATCTCACCGTCGATCATCGTTTTGTATAAAAAATTACGTATTTGGGAAACGAAAAGCAGCTGCAATCAAGGCTAATTATAGACATTTAGCTTGAATATAGTGTCTGGGAATGAAATTAGATATCGTATTGTGTTTATTGAAAAATAACGGTGGCAATTATTAATATGTAATAATAAATAATTCATAAAAGGCCAATTATACGTATAGACCGTGGCATTTATTATTATTTCCATGTTGAGGAATAATTCGAGATTATTCCGAACTCATGAATCATTTCCTGTCATTCAATCAAGCCTAAATTGGTTTCGAGGAGCTCATGTTAATCACGAAAAAACATCCAAATTATATTTTATTCTATTGGATAGGAAAATCTAATTGTATTCAGACTAGACTTGTATTTAAATTATAAACTACAGTAATTGACTAATGAATGTCGTATTGTTCTATTTCTGGATTTATATGCTGTAGGTACGTTGCGACAAAATAACCTGAATCTAGACATTTCAAAACAATTGAACGAATTTTTCTCACGTACTTATTACAAAACTGAAGTCTCATATGATTTGAAAATATGTGGCACAGATAGGTTTATATTTATTTTCTCTCGACCATATTAACGATTTTTTAATGCATCATGAACAGAAAACTTCTGCTTAACAATCGAAATGCAACATTTGAATCTTTATGCAATTCTAGCACCTAGATAAACCTACTTCTTTATAATGAAAAGGTGAATGAAATTGAGACTCTACATATTATGTATATGGAAACAATGTAAAAACGTGATAGTGACACAACTACACAAAACGTCCATACCGGGTTGAAATTCAGGCAGATTATTATGTGCCAATTTATTTATTGAGTCAATTCCAACATAGCAACCGTAATTTTGAAATGAAATTGATCAATTACGAAGGTAATCAATTTTTTTTTGGTTTCACATAAGAAAATCATCTCAAAAATCGTTCAAATAATATTCTCAATAACAACATTCTTCAATGCCTACTGATATTAATGTATATCGGCACTCAAGGTGTGGATCCAATATATCATTAGGATATGTACTTGTGAGTTTTGCCAAGAATAATATTCTGCTATTAATATTCTGCACTAATCAACATCGAAACACGGAATTAAATTGATAGTTTTTTTGGCAACAGTACATCATTTGTTCGTGTTCACGATACCAGTAAATTTTCTTGAAGAATTTACTGCGCTGTTTTGACAGGTAATATTATAATTATTATTATACTTGATTGGGAAATATGATTAACCATGAGATATAAATATTATATGAATTATGCTACATCAATGTCGTTTGGTTGGCTAAATTCATTTGCATTCTCAAAAAGACTGTTGATATTACATAATATAACGGAAAATTCTATTATTTCTTAAACTTAGATTGGGCCAATATAGATCAAATAATTTGAAATCACAAAGGACCCCGCACTTTATCTATATAAAAATGGCGTTCTGTCAAATTTCCTGAATTTCTGGTATATTATAGAACTCGACCTAATGATCAAATATGCCAAGTCCTAATTCGATCCTATGATCAGTTTTTGAGATACAGGATGTTGAAGTTGAGAAATGCCCCCTTTCCATCTACCCATATCTCCAAGAAAAGACAAATGAATCAGAATTTTCTGCTAGCAGTTTTTCAGTTTAACCTTTAGGTAGAAGAACCATGTACAGAAGCAACCAAAGCTGATCTTTATCACAGGGTGATTCACATCTGAATTATTGTGTTATTTTAAATTTTTAAATATCGATACTACAATTTGATAAAAATTAAAAAATCGAAACTATCATTCGAAATGTTCTTCTTACATGAAATTGATTCATTTCATGTATTGATTATACATGATTTTTCGTGAATGCACAAAATGTCGTAACGGTTCGTACCGAGTAGTTTTGAACATAACTTTTTTGAGGTTAGATTTTTCAATCCAAATTTGATGTGAACTTGAACATCATTCAATTTCACACCAAAAAGGTACTCTTGGTAAAACTCGATACTGTGTTCCGTTTTCGGAATATTTCGATTTGAAAATGATGAAGTGGTAACTGTTGCTGGTATAAAGCTATGTATTAGAATGAGTATTATGAAAAATCATCACCTATTTATTGAAAACCGAAAACAACAATACATTTTTGATGCAAAACTGATTCAACAATAAATCACAAGAATAACATCGAAACAGATTTGACTAAGAACATGGATTACACAGTTTGGTTGTATCTTGAGCAGAAAGTCTATGCTACATAGGTAAATTCACGTCAAGGGTTGTGACACATAATTGAACATCACTTAAATGACTCAACAGCTGATCCTCAACTGTTCAGAAGAATAATACATTCTTAAAAAAAGAATATAGAATCGTGTATTCCTCGAAACGTAGGACATTTTGAACACTTTCTCTAACTGATTCAATATTTCATGTTTCTAGTCAAATATCTCTTAATTTTCTACTTATGATTCTTTATTGTTCCATCAATAACTCCAGTACAAGAATAATTTTATTGTTTTTGAACCTGAATAAATAGGTAATTGAACTCAATAAAATTGAATGACGTTCAAGTTCATATCATATTTGGATTGAAAAATCTAACCTCAAAAGAGTTATGTTCAAAACTACTCGGTACGAACCGTGTAACTAGCGTGTCAGATTTCAAGAATTATCCATACAAAATTTCAACACAATGTTGCCAGTAGTTTCGGAATAATCGTGAAAAATGTGTAAAAAAATAATTTTTTCAACACCTTGTATCATGAAAACGGATGCCGTTACAACATTTTTTCACTGAGCAAACCCAACTTATTTCGCAATGTTCTACCTACCCTAGCAAGGGGGTTAGGTTTTTTTGAAACACCCTGTATATATAGGTGATAAGTTCGAATGCTTATTGAGTTTTTTCAATAATTGCAATAAACAGGATAGGAATTTGGTGAACCGCAGACGATGAAATCTTATCATGAATTATTTCCGAAAATAGTAATATCGAGAATTATATAGAAACAATCAGGACTTCCGTTCAACACGAAAATGTTTATCTTAAACCTATGGAGTATTGTATTCCCATGTATTGTGTATCATCTGAAATATGAAAATATCTATACAGGGTGAATTAATCATCAAATCTGCTCTCTCATCAGTTCTTCTTTTCTTGAATTGCAAATTAAATATTCAAATACATCAGATGTTAACCAAAAAGTCAAAAAACTTTGATTTTGATAAAGAAAAACACCTTTTGTCACTGTTAGTATAAAAGCTTCACGTTACTGATGTGAGTTTCAACTATAGATTTGTGAAAGTTCTTCTCAGAGTTCCATATTTCAAATATTTCGGTAAATATTTCAATTTCACTGGGTTATAAGTTACTTCTAGTAGCACAGAACAAAATTGATAAGCAGCTTTAGTATTATAAAGCCAAAAGTAGAATTCCAGTATAACGCGTTGAGAATTCGAAATTTTCGCGTTATTCACTATTGTTCTACTGGAATCAATTGATAGTTGGTAAATAATTCTTTTAAATAATTTTGAAGAGTAGGTATACAGCGTGTCTCACTTTAAACGCCTCCCCTCCCTTTATATCTCAGTTATTAGTCGTGCGATTCGTACCAAATTTGGACCG